ACCTAAAGAATTATTCATAACCTATTATACATTCAAGCATGTCAGCCATCGCAACTAAAATCGTAGAAAAATATAATCTCAGTTCTGAGATGAGTGTAGCTGATCTCAGTCAATACACCTCAGAGTTTCTCGAGAATCTAATTGATTATAGAAAGTGGAATCAGGTACGCAGGTGTCTTCGAGAAGGATTCAAATTTATCAATGAGCAGGTAGGTGTATTGATACCAAATCAGAGAGGTGGGAAAAATAAAATTATAAATTTAGTTGAAGGTAATTGTCGAATAGTTGTAACCAAGCTTCCAAAAAGTTCAGAAGAAGAGATCATCAGAGAGAAAGCAAAACGAATTTTGCAAAATAGATATGGGTTTAGTGAGGTTCAAGTGGATAACTTATTTGCTGTGCAAAGTGACTTATGTCACCTCTCTACCCAGGAAAATGAAAATAAGACCGTAAATATCATGATTTCTAACAAACCTCCAAAACGATTAAAGGAAGAAAGCATCGAAGATATGGTACAACGGTTTTTACAGGATAAACTTAACATTAGGAATATAAGAGCTGAAGCTTATGCCTTAGCCCTATCAGCAAAAAATGCCAATGCTGGTTCATCACGTCTTTCTCGACTCAGAAAAGAATTAAAAAACCTTGATGCTTCACCTACAATAATTGAAGCTACAAAATTTCCAGATATTACAAAAGAAGCTAACAAAATCCAGAAAGATAATCAGAAAAAAGCTGAAATCAAACCTATTAATTATCCAGATTATTTTACATTGGAATCGGTTAAAGAAAGGTTAGATGCATATGATTTAAAAGCTTTGCCCGATTATCAGGCTCTAGCGGATGTTACAATAATGCTTTGTATACGTCCTGCTAAACTTATAACTTTACGTATTACAGACTCTGATGTAATGGGTTATGTGAAGAACAGGGGACAATCAGACGTCCCTCGAAAATTTAGATCTATAGAGAAGAACCAAGAATGAGCCAAAGAATTACTAACCTGGATACAGAATTCTATTTATTTTGGTCAGATAGGCAATCCAGGTAAACCAGGAGTTAAGTGGTTCAACAGGTTCTTAAAAGACTATAGTTTAATTCCTAAACACTTATGTAAATTAGGAGCGGTTTATGGCACTGTAGTACATGCTAAGAGTCCAGCATATTTTATGAGAATAGCTAGTGAATGTTTAAGGCACAACCCTTACACCCGCACTTTTCCGGTTCATAATTACATTTTAGTAAATTATCGGAAAAAGGGACAAACACTTGAAGAAGCATGACCATTTCAGATTTATGATCAAGACTAATCGTGCTTCTTTACTTTTATTACATTCACAGTAAAATCTTCGTTATTATTAGATGATTCAGAGATAAAGATAAGGACTCAGATGCAGTATCATTAAAAATTAGTTTTTTCTAGCTTTACATTTTCTTTTAGCCTTGCATGGTGTATAATTTCTTCGAGAAATATCAGGGTTTGCTATCAAGTTTATAAGTTTTTGACGAATCTCGGGTTTTACTATCTCTAGTAATCGATGAAGAGAGATCCAGATTTTTTTACTCGATACTTGTTTAACAATATCAGATACTGCTTTATCGGTAATATTGGGTAAACTTTTATCTTTTATAAAGCCCAATTTTTTCACAATCTCATAAGTGATAATTGGACATTCTGAGCCTGAATTAACGATGCCCTTCACAACTTCATCATTGACGTCAATCAAACATCGTTTAAAGTTTTTTATGGATTCTTCCACCAGGTTGTCATCAATATTGTTATTAGCTTCAGTCATTGTAAATACGAAATTATTATTAATACGAATTTAAAAATCCAGAATTAAATATATTGTTATAATAAAACATTATAATGATAACTTTATTCTGCAAAATCAGGCCCTTGGATGACTCTACGAATTATAAAGTATTAGTTAAAACTATATTAGATATATATATGAAATAAGTAGCAAATATATAATGAGTTATAGCAGAGTGCGAGATAGGTTAAGTGAATATGGTAAAAAATATATTGTTAAAAATATTAAAACATCAGAAGCATGGTTATGGTTTGCAAAATGTTATCCATCAAAATACGTACGCAAGCGTTTATTAAAACTAGAATATGAAATAAATAATAGAGATTACTGGGAAAATTTTGTATTTTGTATCAAAAATAATTTAACTAGCCATAAACAAATAGGTAATGACTCTGAATATAGAAATTTTAAAGTTCAACTAATATTATATAAAGCAAATTGTGCATCATTAATTATTCAGCAGACATATCGTTTATGGAGAAAACAAATTAATTCCACTAAAATAATCCAGCATGCAGTAATTGAGTGGCTCTATCGACCAGGTGGCACATTAATGAAACAAGTCAAAGATCGATATTATCAACAAGTAAAGTTACTTTTAAAAATCTGATAACTAAACATGTGAACGAATTATCTAAATATTAGTTATTTTTTTGATTGAAGATATACATTACCGAGAATGATGCAACAGCTTAATATTTTTAATATACCCAAGTTATTAGAACAGATCTTACATTTTTTAGAAATTGATCAATCTCTCTATCCCACTTTATTCGTCAATCGTTTTTGGTATTATTGCAGTGCACCAATTTTATGGCGTCGTGTTGAGTTTTCTAAAGAAGATTGTCAGAGGATCCAATGCAGTGGAAAGGTACCTAGACGATTGTTAAATTTTAAAAGAGTTATGTATAGGGAAATGAAACCTCTTTATTGCTCCAAGATAGTATATCTCAGAATAGAAGGATTAAAAATCAAAGATGCATTGATTAGTACGATTCTACACTCATGTCCAGATATACGTACTCTTATTCTTGACCGAAGTGTTGGTTTCACTAATATACCAATTATAGAAATTGCGAGATTTTCTCCGAAACTACAGCATCTAAGTCTTAATTTGTGCAAATGTCTCACCAATTGATGTATCACTGAAATCACTCACTCGTGCCCAAAACTTAGACATCTTGAGTTTGGTGATTGTTCGATCAGTAATAAAGCTGTTGAGGAAATAACCTACAGCTGTACTAATTTGAAATATCTTAGTTTGGAGGGATGTAAAGGGATTAGCAAAGAAGTGATAAAGAAACTCAATTCAGAAATTAAAATTAAACATCCAGATTATTCCGATGATGAATTCTCAGATTCTGATCTACCTCTACTTATTTCAGATTATTCCGATGATGAATTCTTGGTTTCTGATTTACCTCCACTTATTCCAGATCCATTAACGGTATCTCGAAGAGTAATCTTTACTGGTGGACCTAATAGAATGGTTTCAACTAATATATTAAATGTAACAGATCATATTTCTGCAATTAGAGTATCATCAGAATTGACTGATTCAGAATGAATTAATTTATTAAATAGTCTTGCTCGAGCCATTGATCAAGGACTACATTGATCGTGGCAAGGGCTTTAGGCAGATAATTAATTATCCGAACTCGATTATTTTTTCTGGCAAAAGATATAGTATATAATATAATTATTTTACCAATGTTCATAAAAACACTCGTAGAAGGAAAAATTCCAGTAAAAGCATTAATCAATACAAAATCTAAATCCAATACCATTAGCAAGAGCTTGTTCGATAAGCTTGAAGAAGATTATGGATTAGAAGGTTTATCTGACAATGAATTGATCGGTGAAGAAATAAAAGGCTTAGATTTACAGTTTCACTATAAAGGAAAGTGGCGAAGCTTAGATTGTACTGAAGTAATAGACTTTCAAATTCGCAAAAATCTATCGTTTGATCTAGTATTGGGACAAGATTGGTTATGGATGCGTGAAGCAAAAATTATCTTTGGACATTCTCTGGAAAATTGTAAGCACTATGCTAAAATTATAATAGATGGATGAGTATCCCATTAATTGGAGACAATAGCAGGCCCTTTAAGGACGACTCTTTGAGTCATAATGCTAGCCCCACTAAAAATGACCCACCTAGATCCGATTTATCAATAGATGAGATCACGAATATGATTAAAAAAATTCTTTCAGATGTTGAAGATAGACCCAAAGGGTCATTGCTTTGCAATAATAAGCACCGAAAGAGATGTCATGAAATATTTCGCAACATACATCCTGCACATTCACCATCCAGAAGATTAAATGACGATGTTTCCAAAAATAAGAGCAAGAAAAATAAGATTAAATGTTCCACGGATACTTCTTCCAATTCAGATACTTCAGACAGTAATTCAGGTAATTCTTCTGCATCCAGTTCGGGAATAGAAGTTATACATGTGAAACGCCCCTTTCTAAAGCGTAAAGTAAAAGGTAAAGTTAAATATCGAGCTTTATAGCGGAGCTGGTGTCTCTGACATATATGAATTCCGGTTTTATTGTATCATAACATTAATATGCACAGATTGAATAACGATGTTCCGATTTTGTATAAGTTTTACC